GATATTCTCTAACAATAATAGAGTTTATAAAGTTGATATTTACAAGACTATGAATCTGACACAGATCTCTGCTAATGTATATAAAATACTCTGAAAAAGAAGTTATTATTAAAATTACTGACAGAGTCACTGATAGTAAGATTATATATTAATCTATTCTGTCAGTCTGATTAATATTAAAAAGACTCTAGAAAAGTTATTCTGTGTTATAATAACAGATTCTTGTATGAAACTCTCTTAATAATATCATGAATATCTAGATGTCTTCTGATAAGATAATATTATAAATATATCTCTCTTATAAGATTCTGAAGTGAATCACAGTATCAAGTTAGAGAAAAAGAATGATAAGAACTCTGAACTGTTATAAGATTCTCTTTATAACATGTTCTGAGATGAACTTCTTCTTCTTTAAAAGACACTCAATGATCTGTTAAATAAAGAATTCATATGTATTAGTAAGTCTTTCACTGCAGTCTCTATTCTCTTTACAAAGAAATCAGATAAAGAACTCTGATTCTGTGTGAACTACTGAGATCTAAACAGATTGACAAAGAAAGATTGATATCTCTTATCTCTTATCAATGAAACTCTAGCACAGATCAGATAAGCTTAATAATTTATAAAACTAGATATTATTACTGTGTTTCATAAGATTCATATCACTGAAGAAGATGAATGACTTACAGTATTCTGAACATGTTATAATCTCTTTGAATGAATAGTTACACTCTTTGAACTGATTAACACTCTCAGTATATTTCAGAAGTATATCAACTGAGCTCTCTAAGATTTTCTTAATAAGTTTGTATCTGCTTATCTAGATGACATTCTCATCTTCACTGATAAATTCAGAAAAGAATATCAAGAATATGTGTAAAAGATATTATAATAGCTACAAGAAGCAGAACTACTGATAGATATTAATAAGTGTGATTTTAAAGTCAAGAGTATCAAGTATTTGAGTTTTATTATAGAAGCTGACAAGAGAATTTGAATGAATTCTGAGAAAGTCTCTGTCATTCTTGAATAAGAAGCTTCATGTACTGTGAAAGATGTACAAAGCTTCATCAGATTTACTAACTTCTATCAGTGATTTATACAAAACTTCTCAGATATTATGAGATCACTTATAGATCACACTAAGAAAAACTCAGTATTTCAATAATCAGCAGACACTGAAGCTGCATTTACACAGATAAAGAAGATATTCATTAATACTTCTCTACTGATAATCTTTAATTCTGATCATGAGACAGTTATTAAAGCTGATTTCTCTGACTATATAACAGAAGAAGTGATATTATAATATGATAATGAAGATGTTCTACAATTATATATCTTCATATCTAAGAAACTGAGTCTCACTGAATGCAATTATGAGATCTATAATAAGAAACTTCTTATAATTATACACTGTTTAAAAGAATGAGACTCTGAACTCTGAAGTGTCTCTGAGTTTAAGATAGTCATAGATTATAAGAATCTCAAATACTTTACAACTATCTGTAAACTTACTGAATAATAAATATGATAATCTGAGTTCTTAAGCTGCTTTCATTTTACAATACACTACTGTTCTGACAGTTAGAACTTGATGATAGATGCCCTCTTATAATGAGAGTAAGATATGTCATTTAATGTAACAAATACTCACTGAATGAACTGAGAGCACTGACTCTTAAATCTGAAGATACTAGTTAATCAAGATGAAACAGCTTACAGCACTATACATGCTTCTCTGATTAGAACTGTCACTGATATCTCAACTTCTTCTGAATCTACATTAGATGAGCTATGATATACAGCAGCTTAAACTAATGAACTTCTTCAAGCACTTACTGAAGCAGTATGATAAGAAGCACTCTGATTTCTCTCAGAATTATAAGTAAGAACTGATATCTCAGAATGTTTAATTGATGATAATAACACTCTACAATTCTGTGAATAATACTGAGTCTCTCACTCTGAATTCTTACACATCTGAATAATGTAAGAGATGCATGATTTGTGTATAACTGATTATTCAGACTGTGAACAACTGTATAGAATGATCTTCTAAGAATTCTATTAATCTGAGATATCAAACAGTATCAGACACTTCATCTGAAACTGTAATCACTGTTCTTTCATTATCTTATGAAAGAATTATAGAAAAGATCTACTGAAATCACTTAATATTTCTGATAGAATCTGACAAGATGTGATAATTGACTTCACTGTCAATCTATCTAAGAGTAAGAGTTATAGAAACATTCTGATTATTATGAATTGATTGAGCAAAGATATAATATTAAAATCTTGTGATAAGATAAATACTGAATAAGTCACTGAAGTCTTTCTACAGAGTCTGTTCTATCAGATGTATGAATTACTGAGATTCATAGTATTGAACCAGAGCTGTCAATTTGTGAGCACTCTCTGAACTAGAATCTGTCAAGTTCTCAAGATTATATATCATCTATTAACTGTCTATCACTCTGAGACTGATGATATATCAGAATGAACAATTCAGACTGTAAAGAATTATCTTTATAAGTTCTGTAATCACTTATAAGATGATTGACATGATCTTCTTCTATATGCAGAGATCACTATCAATGATCAAGATACTGTTTTAATAGATGTAAGCTCATTCTTTCTTACACATAGATATTATATAAAAGTGTTGAATCTTCTAGAGATTACACAGTTTACACTGAATCTCTGCAGTCTGATTCAGATCACTGATAATATAGTAATGAAGCTCTGAAATGTCTGTAATTAAGTAGAGGTCTTCATGGCAACTGTAAAACAAGATTAAGAGAATTAAATCAATGTTCACTGAGACTCTGCTGAATAATATAAGATAGAAGATCTGATATAATTGAATCTTAAGAATATATGAATTACATATTCATTCTGTATGCTAGATTATCACTATATCAGGTATAAAGTAATAGAAGTTCTAGATAGTTATAACTACTATCTTGACACATTATCAGAGATTCATAATGTATTTCATATAAGCTTACTCTGCTGCATCATCACTGATTCATTTTCTTCTCAACTGACTTCTGACTGACAACTGCTAGAGATCATAGAAGAAGATAATGAACTTAAGTGAGAGATTGAAGAAATTCTTGATAAGAGATTACACAGCTATAACTGACAATATTTTGTAAAATGAATCAGCTATAATTAACTGATCTGAACTCTGAGTTCTGCATTATCTGAAACAGCAGCTCTTCACTGATGAGAACTGCTTCTGAAAAGAGAGAGCTAATGTAGTGAGCTGTGCCTGATCATTTATATAGACTATTCTGTTACACTTCACAGATTTCATGTATGCTCTGATTCTCAGTCATTCTCAATTGCTGATTCTCAGCTGCTATGAATGCGTATGCTTCAATTCTCAGTCATTCTCAATCATTAATTCTTAGCTGCTATGAACGCGTGTATATTCTTCCACTCTGAAGCTTCATCACATACATGTATAAATATTCATCTTGATCACTGATTCTCGCACTTTCTCTTTTCTTTCTTCTTTAACATTTTTATCTTTGTTATATAAGATCTATTAATATTATACTGATCTATTCGGCGTAGGCCTCTTACATATTTAGTTATTTCATGAGTGTTATTAATAATTATTATCAAATTCTGATTATATAAGCAATTACTGAATGAACTGAATGAGACTGATTTTAATCTTCAGTCTCAGTCTCATTCTGATTTTGAAAGAATGATTTTATCTTTTATAGTTTATTCTGAGAAATTACTCTTATTTCACTGTTCTTGAATTAATTCTAGTCATTTTTCATGTCATTTCTCTCAGAAATGATTCATTTTCAGATTTTTTTAAGACTTGATTCTGATGAGACTCACATCAAGAAATGTATGAGATCAGATTAAATGAGATCAAATATGAAATTCATAATCTCACCGGTCAGTCTAGTCAGAATAAGTGTCACAGATGAATATGTTAAAGATATATAAATCTTATATATATCAAGATCTTCTTCTTATATTATTCATACACTATCTATTATATCTAATTTCATACAAAAGATAGAGCTATTTATAGTAAAATAAATATGCGAGTCAAGAGAGCTAGTATAAGCAAGTATTAGACAAGCTTTGTAGTAAGCTGATAATAATAAGAAATATAGTAGTAATACAATGTTAGTAATGTTTATAGCATATGACCTCTTTTTTCTGATAACTTTCTACTTATATTTCGCTTTGTTATATTCAGAACTGACTTTGTCAATTTAAACATTTACAGAGTGTCAATCAGATTTCAGCTTTATATAACTTAAATCTGCAGTATTACAAGCTAATTATCCGTGTTTTTATTTTGACTAAAACTTTAAAAGTGAGATTTTGAAGTAATATTTTAAAAGATTGAATTATGTGTATTTTAATATTTACTAGTATACTCAAGATTTCTATTATAGAATAGTAGTAATTAAGTAAGAATGAAAGTATGCGCTTCTGACAGCAGGTAGAGAATAGTGATATCACTGAGTATTATATTAAACAATCTATTTGAACAGCAATAGAAAAGACATGAGAAAAGAACTGACTAGAGAAAAGAAATGTATAATTAAATCAAAGACACAATACTGCATACAACAAAAAGAAAACTCTTCACTTTGAGAATAAGAATTGCATACACCTGCGGCAAAAGAATCTCATATCACATATGAAAAAGCATCACACATGTGACATATATGGAATCTCGATCTCAGACTCTCAGAGTGATCTGGGATTGAAACAACCTTTCACTGAGCTTCCCTGCATAAATATATCTGGCTCCGCCGCGCGATCCGTCATCATCAAAACATACAACATCCCCAACACTCAATTCTTAGTGATGATTCTTGTGTGAGGTGTTTCCTATGTGTTCAATTAGTGATATTCTTGTGCGTGTGTGTGTGTGTGTGTATCTATTCTTGTTGTGGTTCTTATTCTTGTGGTTCTTATTCTTGTGGTTATTATTATCGTGGTTCCGCTGCTCCTGTTCTCGTGCCGCCAGAAGCACACATCACCTGCACCATTACATTGGTGTTCCCAATGAGGGAGAATGGATGAGCAGGCAGCAGTGATGATGAGAATGTTGATGATGTTTTTCCTCTTTGTTGTGATTTCTGTTCTTTTCCTTCTTTTGTTGAGCATCTCATTTGCTATTGTCTTCTTCTGGAAGTGTCTGATCGGTCATGTTGAACGCCACTGTGAATTGATGAGAAATTCTGCTGATGTTGATCCCCCTATTCGCCCACGGCAGGATGAGGATGATGATGGGAAGAAAGCCCTGAGCCAGCTATTGAGATTCCTTCTTTTCCTTGATGACTTGAACCTCCCGCGGAAGAACCTTGATATTGACAGTGCTGTTGATCTTTTTCTTTTGTGTGAGAAGAATCCTCTTGTGTATTCTCTTTTGAATCGCGTGTCTCCCAAGTATTCCCATTCGGATTCCACTGTCAATACACCTGTTCCGAAGAAGGGGGTTAGTAATGATAAGATGGCTGCTGCGGATTCTACCTCGACGACCCCTGCAACAACCCCTGCTGCCGGAATGCCTTGCTGAATCATAATGCCAATGCCAATGCCTGGGACCCCCGGTGCCCTGTTCTTTGATGGAAAGGATGTTACCACATTTGTGAACCGATTTGAAATGATGAGAACCTTGCACCATGTTGCAGATATTGATTTGCCTTTACTACAGAACTATTGCTCAATGAAACTACAGAGATATGTTGATCAATTGATGTTGAATCATAAGACATGGGATGGAGTTAGCAGACAACTGCTTGCAGATTTCTGGCGCGAAGACTCACATCAACAGATGTATAATCAGTCATACCTTTGTATACTTTCTAGCAAGATGCATTCTGATCAGAATATTCTTGTGTATTGCTGTCAATTCTGTGGTATTACAATGCAGTTGATTCAAAGGAATGAGCTGCATCAATCAGTTGTGTGTATATGGTTCCTGCAAGGTCTTCCAGAGGATGTTTGTGAGAAAGCTTTTTGCATTGCTGGATTTGATCAGGTCGCTAGCCAATCTTAATGAGAATTGCTGAAGATTTGCAATGCTGTGATGAGATTGCAGAAAACAAAGAAGGATATTGTGAGAATTCTGTCAATCAATTCTTTTCCCTGCTCTGTGTCTGATCCACCTGTGTTGAAATCATCAATGTCAAATGCCCCTGCCAGTTCTGCATCTAGATCAATGTTGAATGTGCTTTCCTGTCCTATGTTGAGTCTGTCTGCAATTCCTGCCATTCCTGTGATTTCTGCTGTTCCTGCAATTCCTGCTGTCCCTGTGATGATGAATATGAGAACTATACCTGCAATTCCCATCCCTGTTTCTGATATTGATAAGCAGCGCGTGGATAATGATGTTCTAGAGAACCTGGTTGGCCAGATGAATTCTTTGTCTCTTGTGATCGCCAGAATTCAAAGACAGAAGGTGCAATCTATGACACAACCTGTGGCTGCCTCAAGGATTCCTCCCACCTGTGGACCTGTTGATTGTTCTCATTCTATCAATATGCTGAATGATCCTGGTTTTGATTGATTGAATTGCTGGGGTTGTGGAGACTCAAGCCATAATGTTCCACAGTGTTTGAAGATCAACCGGCTCCTTGACCAGGGGAAGATCTATAGAGATATGCATGGGAAATACTATGTGAGTAATGTTGTCAATCGCGGTCCAAGAATTCCTCGCAATAAATATGAACCATATATCACCTCTATTGAGCCAGTCCTAAGCCAGCATATCATGACTGTTCCCACCCGTGTTTCACCACCTATTCCTCCCCGCGTCCCATCTGCTGTCCCTTTCACCTGGAGATGAAGGTGATCAACAATTGGAGAATCTTTGTGGTTGATGATTATGATGATGAATGTGGTGTGGGATGATGTGAAATGTGATGTTGGATGTGGAATGTGATGTTGGATGATGTTGAATGTGGTGTGGGAGGATGTTGAATGTGGGATGTCGAACATGATGGAATGGATATTACCACGCGGTAGATGGCTCAACAGCCAATGAGGTTTTCCCGGCCCAGGGGCATCAAATGATTCAACCAATCATGGGTGCCCATGTCAGCCGCAGCTTCCACAATTAACTAACTAGTTAACGTTACCGCCTAGTTACCAACCTTCTGCCTCTATTTTCGGTTTTTCATGTTCCCGCTGCTCCGCGAATCTGTTTATTCTCTTCCTTTGCAGCCGTTCTCTTTCCTTTCCTGCCATTCTTTTTCCCTTTTCTTTGATTCTTGATTTATTGATTCCCTGTCTGTATTTTTCCTATTTTATATTGGTTCTGGGTTGCATGGTCGGCAACTTAAGGGGGGAGGGAGATATGTAGTGGGGATCTCGGCCTCAGACGACCTCGGATTGGAACAACCTTTCGCCGGGCTTCCCTGCATATATATATCCATTCAATTTTTAGTGATGATTCTTGTGTGTGGTGTTTCCTACGTGTTCAATTAGTGATATTCTTGTGCGTGTGTGTGTGTGTGTGTATATCTATTCTTGTTGTGGTTCTTATTCTTGTGGTTCTTATTCTTGTGGTTATTATTATTGTGGTTCCGCTGCTCCTGTTCTCGTGCCGCCAGAAGCGCACACACCAGTCCCCATTACACCATCAGATGGGCAGCGGCGCGGCGGATATATGCCAGGCGATGCCTTGACGAAAAATTTAACCGTGCTGAAAAATTTAACCGCGCTGAGATCCTTCACCACAGTAATATAAATAACTTAGATAGAGCAGAGTATTTCTGAGAGATCAATCATATAAAACTATTGAAGAATTTTCCAAAGAATACTTTTAAATTATTAATTGATATACCAGGTTATAGTGATATTTGAGTTAAATGAGAAGTTTATACTACTGTTACAATGAGAATAAATCAATAATACTAATTGTATTATCAAACATCTTATTGAAATTTATATAAAATAGCTGACATCAAAAGAGCTCTATACTCAGAGAGTCTCTATATCTGACAAAACTCTATACTCAAGCACTCTGTATCTGAGAGTACTTTACTCAGAGGAACTCTATATTCAGGGGACTTTATACCCAGGGATCTGTATATCCGGGGGTACTCTATACCCAGGGGGTCTCTATACTCGGAGAGATCTCTATATCCGGGGGACTCTATTCCCGGGAATCTCAATACCCGGGGGTACTCTATACCCAGGGGTTCTCTATACCCAGGGGTTCTCTATACCCAGGGGTTCTCTATACCCAGGGGTTCTCTATACCCAGGGGTTCTCTATACTCAGGGGTTCTCTATACCCAGGGGTTCTCTATACCCAGGGGTTCTCTATACCCAGGGGTCTGTATACCTGGGGGCTTTCTATAATCAAAAGGTCTCTATACCTGGGGGTACTCTATACCCGGAGGTTCTTCAATACCCAGAGATATCTATATACCTAGAGGTACTCTATACCTAAGAGCTTTCTATACACAGAGGGATCTGTATACTCAGAGAGTCTCTATACCCGGGGGTTTGGTATACCCGGAGCAGCTCTATACTAGAGGTACTCTATACTCAGAGAGTCTCTATACCTGAGAGCTTTCTATACGCGGAGGGATCTCTATACTCAAAGGTTCTCTCTGCTCAGAGAGTCTCTATACTCAGGGGTTCTTCTATACGAGGAGATACTCTATAGTCGACAGCTTTCTATACACAGAGGACTCTCTATACTCAAAGGTACTCTATACTCAGAGAGTCTCTATACCTGAGAGCTTTCTATACGCGGAGAGATCTCTATACTCAAAAGGTACTCTATACTCAGAGAGTCTCTATACCCAGGGGTTCTTCTATACCTGGAGATACTCTATACCTGAGAGCTTTCTATACAATCTCTATACTCAAAGGTACTCTATACTCAGAGAGTCTCTATACTCAGAAGTTCTTCTATATCTGAAGATACTCTATATCTGACAGCTTTCTATACACAGAGAAATCTCTATACTCAAAGGTACTCTATACTCAGAGAGTCTCTATACCTGAGAGCTTTCTATACATGAAGAGATCTCTATACTCAAAGGTACTCTATACTTAGAGAGTCTCTATACTTAGAAGTTCTTTATATCTGAAGATACTCTATACCTGAGAGCTTTCTATACACAGAGAAATCTTTATACTCAAAGGTACTTTATACTCAGAGAGTCTCTATTAGACTGGCCGTCGGGACCATGAATTTCATGTTTGATCCCATTTGCTCTGGTCCCATACATTTCTTGACGTGAATCCTGCTGAGACTGGCTATTAAAAAAACAGGTAAAGTAACTATATATCAGATCTTAAAATGAAATCATGACTTGAAAAAAATAAGAAAGTGGCCTCATTTGATTTCATTTAGTCTCATTCTTAATATAAAGTTACTATTTTTAGACATTTTAAGGTTTTTTTTAGACTATTTTTAATTTTTTAAAAAATAATGCTTTTTGATAACACTTAAATAAGATTTAAAGTTATTTAAAGTAATAAAAATAATTTAAATTGAGAAGTGAAAATCATGATCTCATTTGAAAAATGTGACAAGAGTAGACAGTAAGTCTCACTAAGATAGTATAAGACTACTAACTAATGTTAAAACTGTGTAATGAGATCAGTTGAATTTAGACTGGTCACTGGGACCATGAATTTCACATTTGATTCCATTTGATCTGGTCTCATACATTTCTTGGCGTGAATCCCGCTGGGACTGACTATCAAAAAAACATGTAAAGTGACTATATATCAGATCTTAAAATGAAACCATGACTTGAAAAAAATGAGAAAGTGATCTCATTTGGTCTCATTTAGTCCCATTCTTGACATAAAGTTACTATTTTTAGACATTTTAAGGTTTTTTTTAGACTATTTTTAATTTTTTAAAAAGTAATGCTTTTTGATAATGCTCAAATAAGATTTAAAGTCATTTAAAGCAATAAAAATAATTTAAATTGAGAAGTGAAAATCATGATCTCATTTGGAAAATGTGACAAGAGTAGACAGTAAGTCTCACTGAGACAGTATAAGACCACTATCTAATGTTAAAACTGTGTAATGAGATCAGTCAAATTGATAATGAGACTATCAAAAAATCTGGTCCTGGTTCCAGACACGGTCACACGGTCAGTCTAGTTGAATTGATAATGAAATTATTAAAAAATCTGGTTCTGGTCTCAGACACAGTCACACGGTCAGTCTAGTCTCTATATCTGAAGATTCTTCATACTCAGAGTAGCTCTATATACAACTGAGAGAATTATATGTTAAGAGATATATGAAATAAAGCTTATAATCTGAAAGTTCTGAAAGACTGACTAAATTATAAATAATAGTATATTAACTATATTGAAACTAGTATAATTAAGATATATAATTATCAATATAATAAATATTATATAAAATTAAGTTTTTATACTGAGAAATATTTTAAAAAAAAATATTATTTAAATTAAATTAAAATACTGTTATAAATTACTATTATTAATAATTTATTTAATTATACTAATTACAGAAATATGTAATTATATTTACTTTAAATAATTTTTTTCAAATATTTTTAATATAAAAACTTAATTTTATATAATATTTATTATATAGATATATATTAATTATACTAGTTTTAATAAAATTTAATATATTATTTATATACAATTTAATTACTTTTAACATTTAAATTATAAGTTTTACTTTTATAGATTTTTCAATATATTTCTTTTAAATATAAACTTTTTAAATATAAAGTATTATTAAGAACAAAATTCTTCTAAATAGAGTATTTTTAAATATATTATTTTCTGAGTATAGAACTGTTTTTTGATATAAGTTATTATTTTATATAATTTTTAATAAAAATATTTAAATTATTAATATAATTAATTTAATTAATATATACTTTGTATAATACTAATATATAATACTTATTTATTTTAAATATTATTATTTTTTATCTGAGAGTTATTATTATTATTATTCTTCAATTATAAATATATATAGTTGTAAAGTATAATATTAATCTGAAATCTTTTAATTCTTAGAGTTTTTCTAGTATCTATAAAGCTAATTTCTAAGCTGAGAAGTTATTATTGCATGTATTTAATTATCACTTCTTTGTATTTTTCTATGTTCTTATTATCTTGACATGATCTCAATACCTGTATTTTCTTCTGTATAATTAACACTTGACCTGTATTTAACGCCATGCAAGAACTCATTATCAGCTCCGCGTACATATGAGTATAATAAAAGAAGAATAATAATAATAATTATTATTATTATACATTTATCAATTTGAGATATGTAAAATCAGA